AATGGAAGTTTATGAATGTTCTCAATATAAACATTAAAACATTTTGGTTTAATTTTTTTTAAAATTACATTACTGATATCTTTACCTTTTGTTTACTGTATTAAGTGAAGTGTAAATTATGTCAAATAAATAGGACAGAATATTCCATTTACAAAATATACTGGTATTATTTCTAGAAACTAGGTTATATTCTCTATAATAATTCAATTATGTATAAACTTAAATTAATTCATTTGTTGTCTTAAACTTTAACATAGTTTCCTTTTCATAAACACAGATCAACTATGAAAATAGTGCAGAAGATTTGTAGTTCAGGTGGACGATTTTGGTGAAGTTTTGTTCTTTGAGCTGGATGGTTTGATTGGGGAGCTTTCATCGTTCTTCTGAACGATATCATGAGCACAAACTTCGACCTGAAGTTCAGAAGAACGATGAAAGCTCCAAACTATCCAGCTCAGAGAACGAAACTCCGCCAAAAATTATGACAATAATTAAAATGAATTAGTTTAGGGATTATAGATATTGTTCATTCTCTTTTTGTTTGAGAGATGCACCTCAGTGAGTTCTACATTGTTTGATTTTTGAGATTTAAAAGATTATCGGATCAATGTCATATGAGATTTAGCTTATTATATTTCTTACCATCATTAATTTATCTTACAAAAAAAGATAAACATAATGTCTTAATCTTTATTCTGAATGTTGACCATAATGAAACGCAAGGGATACATTTTTAGTAAATGTACAGATTATGAATAAACATCCTTCAGTGAATACGGAATAATTGAGTGCCTAGAGAAATAAAGTATAACAATATATCAGTAAACTTATACATACTAAAGATCCCCCATTATATTAAAAGACTATCATTTGAATTTCACTGGTTGAAATCATGAGTCAATTGAAGCTAGACCAACATGATAAACCTGCGAGCACTAGACGGCCGTCTCGTCCTAGCATGGGATTCCTCAGCAGTGCGCACCCACGATCCCGCCCGCCTCGCGAGATTCCAACACAGGACCTACCAGTCTCGCGCGAAAACGCTTAACCATTAGACCACTGAGCCAGCCGGCATCCAACGGTGTTAATGTCTAACTTCAACCAATCCACGAAGTTGCGCCATCGTGCACCACTGTCTTCAGTGAGTTGATATCTCACAACAGACTTGGTTGAACTCCACTGGTCACTGTTTTCTACTATAACAAATAAAGTATTCATTGATGAACATTATTAAAAAGATCAAAAATTAGTCAATTATTATTACTTGAAAATATTTAATCTTTAATTCTGATTGTCAGTCGGTCAGTCAGTCAGCTACAGCAGCTAACAATAAGTGACTAATCAAAAATTGTACTATTACGCGAATAAAATTATGTTTCCATATTAATTTTACATTAATCAAAACGGTAATGAGAACTTATAAACAACTTGTTCACATAGGTGACTTGAATAACTCCATTATGATTTAATTGTTATCCACAACTTTTGATTAAGCTTAAAAACATTTATAACTTTACACTGTGGACTAAATTCAATCAAAGAACGATTGGAAAACAAAAGACACTCAAAGCCTGCTTTATCCTAGTATGGACATTTTCGGTAAAATTCATCCGTGGCCCGACCAGGAATTGAACGCAAGTAGTTTATGCCTAGCAGTGAGCACTCAATATTCAAACCATTCAGTTGGCTAATAACTGTTTACATCTCTAACATTGTTCAATCAAGGATTTCTTACAATTGTCAATACATGTAATATCAGTTCCAGGATAATGTTGGAAACTATGTTGTATTCATAAGTTTGTAAGTGTAATTACCAAGATTCGACTTCATAATTTCATATAGATTGAGCCTTGAGTAGATCGTTATAAATAAAGAAATGTATTTGTAACATTTCAATGAGTCAAAAAATTAAGTTCACTTCTACTTGATGTCTGAGTTGATGATATTGATCAGAAGAACAATAAAAGTTCCATGACCAAACTATTTAGCTCACAGAACAAAACTCCATCAAAAAATAGTTAAAATTTAAAGTAAAGATAAGGAAGAGACTTATTTATTTTGTAAAAAAAAACAGTTCCAGCATTGTTTCATAGGTAGCTAGTGCTTTCGATGTTTTAAGGATATGAATATGAAGAAACCAATTAAATGTTGAAGGACAGAAATCTTAACCGCTTCGTTGTTCCCATTCTACAGTTGCACTACAATGAAAGTCCTGAAAGAAATTCTACTAGTTCTAATAAACCTATGTCATTGCCATACTCTACTTAATTGCTTTAAGCTGAAATGATTTAAGCGAACAAATTAAATCAATCAAATCATATTATACTGTTCCTTTTGTTTTATTCCGAACAAACTTATTAATGAATTTCTTGGTGTATAGTTAGTTCTACTTTTAATTGTTTTAGTAGTACATTTCTATTACATCATTTTAATATTTTCATATTATACTGATGACCTTGAGAGACTTATCAACCAACGAAGAAACACTATTTTGTTATTAAAAAACACCAAAAGAACAATAAAATTACAATGCAGTAATGATTTCCAAACGATCAATTAACCTTTACACGTTAAATTACTTACCATGGTAGGGGAAAATGGCTAGGTTTACATATAAGGAATTAAGCTATTGTTGTGAACTAGAGTTATAATGTGTTGGGATATTCGGAGAAATATCCCAAAAATTATCTTGTTAAGTCTAATGCTATCCTTGGACTTGAAATAGCGTCATTTTCCTGTTGGCTAAATATTGTACAAATGTTATCTGCTATTTTATGGTCCGTTGTGGTCTGCTTGATTGGTATATAAACAGAATATGTTTGAAATATAATGATTCATATCGCAGAGGTTGAGACTTGTGTTCTGGACTTATCTGGCTGGGCTAGGAGGAAAGCAGGGCCAATTAGAACTCTAGACTGCTCGCACGTGTTTTCGCGTCATTGGTTCGATCGATAAGTCACTGCTCCATAATCAGTGGTCACAAGTTATAACATAATGATACATTGTTTTCGTCATCAAATGCCATCATCCATAGCATAGTGATGATTTGTAACTCGTTCTTTAACAGGCTTAAGGAATTTAATGTTGATATTTAGAGTCCGGAGTCATAGAGGAAAAATAATATCTAGCTACACTGACACCTTTGATTATGCACTGAAAACATAAAGTATCTTAGCCCACAATTTGCATCAGGAGCAATTATTTCATGTATTTTAGGTTGAGCACCACGTTACAATTACAGTTTAGATGCGTCGTAGATATTTGTTGTATTTATTTGAAGTATTTTAAAAAGCAAATATTACCGATTTTTATTTAGGTAATGGCGACATGAAAGCTATCTTTCTATGTACAAAAAACCATGAGGCGCTATCTTAATTTTAAGTGATTTACTCTAGGTTGTCAGCGTAATATATCTTTACTAACTTACGCCCGTTAATCCTAATGGAGCAAAGGCATCCTAGATGTCCACTGTATCCCGTGCTTCCCTTCAGATGTTGACGTCTTCATGATCCAGTCGATCACCAGGAGAAAGAAAAAGGGTGAGAGTAAGCAACGTTGCCTGACACTGTAGCGTTTTTTCAGCGAGTTAGTTCTCCACGGGATGAGTGCGCTAACCTTATCCCCAACCTTCCTCCTTTATCCGAGCTTGGGACCGGTAGTAGCTCCAGGAGGGACTCCAGGCAGAGTAACCTATCTTTACCATATACAAATTAAATGTTTTACTGTTTTAAACTTCAAAGTAGCTTGAACCAATTTCGAAGAGAGAATCATCGATACATTATTATATTCTGTTGTTGAGGTTTTTTACATGCACAAACTAACTTTTAGTTTTGATGCATATTCTAGTAAAATGGGTCTTCTAGTGACATTATACAAGTGAGTTTAAAATAACCTCGACAAATCTAAAACTACATTTACCCTATCACAATGTAGTTATCATAAGTGGACAGTTTGTAAAGGAAAGACAATAGGATTACCAAGGGTTCAGAGAGTTTACACCATAAATCAATCGAACAAATATCTAAGCCGGTTTTTCTATACGCAAATTGGAAAAAAAATTTTCTTGAAGCTTCACGAAGATAAACAAGAGTCCCTGTACTGTCCGTGGCGAACGTTCAAGTTTAGAATTAGATAAGTAACGTTATGCCTTGTGAATTGAGTTTAGATTGGTTATAATTAAGTGTTTGGCGAAAAGGTTGGTTGAGTTGTTTGATACATTCGATTTAGGCAGAATTGAGCATATGATATCTTAAATACTATCATTTCTACTGTACGATGATAAAATTTCTGCTTTCCTTATAATTTTAAGTATTCTGATCACTATACAGATGTAGCACTTCTGACCGCCCTCAAATGCCCTGGTATGGCCGAGAGTGGGGTGAGCCCGCCCTCCCTCTCGAAATGCTCTCACACGGCCACGCGTATACAGCCTCTGCCAGGGAAGTCCTACTCACTGCATTCTCATGGAGCGGGGTGTTGTTTACGAAATCGGGAGAACGAAAAGCGGATGTCCGGCACTCTAACCGGGTTGGAAGACATGGAGAGTGCACCTAAGGGATTTGGAAAACCCTGATTCAAAACCAATGGTGCACATGGGCTCCAGTATCCTGAGGGAACAAATGGCGTATGAAGCAATCGTTGGTCACCGGCTACCATGAGATTGTATCTCCTTACGTTGTTCCACTGCCTTGTAGATCAGACCTTCAGGTTGAAGGCTCCGGGTGTGGAACCCTAAGATAACCACCTGCTTCGGTTTGGGCACCCGGGCAGTATCACAGACCTCACATAAATCGAATGATTTATGTAGCGTATATCTATTCGGTGCCTCCTTGTACCAATGTTTATGGGTTTAAAAAAATGAAAGCTCTTCTGACCATTCTACATGATATTCAATAAAAAATCAATCATTTTTGAATTTTGCTCAAAAACTCTAAGGTCGTTTGTACAGTTCTGCTTGCCTGTGATTTTCACATGTATTCTCTTTTTTCTTTTCTCTATAGATAATGTAAATAAATCTGAACCTACTACACAAACCCAATATACAAATACAACTAAAGATGTAATTCAATCTAAAGAGAACAAGCCAGGACAACCATATAGTATGTCATGTTTTACAAATCAGTCTAATTGTTTTGATCATATTCATGAATTGAATCAATCAAAAATCTATCATAACAATAATCAACTTTATTCATGTAATTCAATGTGTAAACATGATCATAATTATTCTAATAATGAAACTAGTTTATTAACAGATAGTTCACTTAATTTCAATCAATTGAAGTCTAATATGAAGATCAACAATAAACTACCTTATAGAAGTAGTAATACATTTCATATAAAATCAAATATTGATCATCGAAATAAATTAAAACATACTACTTATTCTCATCATCACTATGTTAAACATTGTCTATCATCATCATCATTAACTCCACATTCTATACCAGTTCATCGAATGATTCATTCAACTCCGCCATTTACATTGAAACATTTATCAACTATACGGAATATGTATGAACAAAATGAATATTCTACAAAAATTGATAATAAAAATTATATAATTAATAATAATAATGAATTATCTAATAATGAAGATCAATCTGAATCAGAATTATCAACATCATCATCAGCAGCATCATCAACATCAGCATCTCAATTACCATCATTTGATCGTCCACGTTTTTATAGTAGTAATATGATTTTATTAAAACCACCAAATCATCATTCACATATGAAATTAAAATATATTACAGAACAAATTCTTTTAGCTAAATCAATATTTGATGGAAATCAATCTAAAAAAAGATCAAATTCTTGGTCAGTTCATCGTGGTTTTAATCTAAACTCTTGTAAGATTAATGAACATTTATTTAAAATGAATTACTCCTTTAATATGATATATATATACATAGTAGTCAGATGTCGTTTATGCAACAATTGAAAACGTGGTGATCAGTGTTACAGGTTATCAAGTATTTTCAACAGTTGAGATCATGAGTAAATTGAAAATAGATTCATGATCTCAACTGTTGAAATTACTACATTCTCAACAAAACCCGTTCTGACACTAATCAACATATGCTCACTAGTGACCGGCTTCAAGAAGTATACCCTGGAGTTCTAGTAAGAAGCAGTGACCAGTGGAGTTCAACCAGGTCTGTTGTGTGATAGTAACTCACTGATGACAATGGTGGATGGGTTATTCAGATTCAGATTTGTGTAATAAGGACAGAAGGCCTACGGCCTATCTTATTCCTTTTCTAGTATGCTTCTGTGAGTGTCCTGTCTTCTCTTGAAAGTGTCAATTGAAGGTGCGGACACCACTGCTTTGGATAGCAGGTTCCAAGTATCAAAATTAGATTTCCCCTTAATCTGCGATAGGACAGAGTAAAGAGGCCAGCTTTTCAAGCCGCTCTTTGTACGGTAAACCCCGGAGTTCTAAAATTGCACGGGTAGCTGCACTCTGTACTTTTTCTAGGATATCCGAGTCACTTTTTAAGCAGGGGCTTGCAGCCTGAACGCAGTTCTCAAACTTAGTTCTCACTAAGGTTGTGTATACTGTGGTGAACATGGTAGTATCTAACTTAGTGAATGTCCCTTTTTCAAGCCCAGAAGGTTCGAAACCCCTCAGCTGTGACCTCCCGGCAATGGGCCGTCATCTTACGATCATTACTCACTGTCACCCCTAGATCCTTATGAGACCGAATTACGGGTAATGACATCACCTATGTTGTACGTATTAACCTTTGAATCCCCCAAGCGCATGTAGACACACTTTTCCGCGTTGATAGGCATCAGCCACTCTTTAGACCAGTTTATCATATTATTTAAATCTGTCTGAAGAGTAAATGCGTCTTTGTCTCCAGTTATTACTCGCCAAATTTTTACATCGTCAGCGTATAATAACATTGGAGACTGTACTATACTTGTAAGATCATTAACGTACATTATAAAAAGTAAAGGACCTAGGACGGAACCTTGGGGTACTCCACTTAGTACTGGTGGATTGTTTGAAGTTAGACAATTACACCATTGGATGCCGGCCGGCTCATGGTTCTAATGGCTAAGTGTTAGCGCGCGAGACTGATAGGTCCTGGGTCGGAATCTCGTGGGGGTGGGATCGTTGATGCGCGTCGCTGAGGAGTCCCACAGTGGGACGAAACGGCCGTCCAGTGCTTGCAGGTTTCCCATGATGGTCTAGCCTCAATTGACTCATGATCTCAACTGTTGAAATTACTACAATCTCCACAAAACCCCTTGTGATACTAATAAGTATGTCACAGAATGCATATGTTTCTATTCAACCTAATTATGAATCCGGAACAGTTCTTTGATAACAATCAGAGAAATTATTTTTCTCGCTGTCGGGAACAAAACTCCATGGAAAAAAATCATTTCACATTATCCATAACTTTTATGAAGGATATTATAACTGAGTTACTCTAGACATAGTTTGCCTTCTGATATATACTAGAGCAACAAAAAATCCAGTACGTTTTGGGAACATAGCATCATAATATCCTACACCTTATCATTTGTTGAACATTACCGTTCTAATCAGATATTTTAAATTCCCGCCGTTGTATTCCAAATGGTATCCTCTTTAGGTACCCATGGACTACTTTAAGCATAGGAAATCATCAGCACGTTTACTCCCTTGTGGATATTGTCAGTTAGATTTTGCTCCATTTCTATACTGATGCTCAAAATCAGATTCGAACCCACTAGTTATTGTTTTGAAAGGTCAGCGAGGGAGTCTAAAATGTTCGGATAAACCAGAGTGACTTAAAATGATCTCCACAGTGCGAAGTCATTTTTAGACAATCAGAGGACATTCTATAAAGTGACCATTTTCTAGTAGAAAAAATAATACAAAGTTATAATGAGATTCGAAAATTTTGTAGAGTTAATAGACATCCCTGAGATCCGAAGTCAAAAAACTTACAGTGTAAATAAGTAATAAAACAGTTAAGAAGAATTCCTTTATCAGTGTTTTTACTGGAGATAGTTTTTCAATCGTAATCATACTGTCTTAACTGTCTTTGCATAGACTAATCATAACCTCTAATTAGCTTCATATTCTTACTACAGTCTTATCAAATGGACTCATATTGCAGATTATTTTGATACCTGATTGGCTTGTCTTTATACTTTTGTCCAATTGTCTCAACGTTTTTTCACTAAACTACTGATTCAGGTAAGTCACTAACTAGTTCAGTTGGTAATATGTGTAAGGGTTCGTAATTTCTTGCTATTAATATCAAGGACTTCAATAGAACAGTCTCTGTTGGTAAATATTCATTTTACTGCTAACCACAATCCAAAGAAACTGACAAATAAATGAAGATATCAAAGAAATCCTATCAGAAAGCATATACCTCGATAAGAACTGATCGATTACAGTCATTACTATTGTCGGTTTAAACATAAGAATCCTTGCATAAGAACGATTCAGTCTCTTTGTTTTAAAAATCAAGTTTTTATTTGTGATAAAGACTATTTAAAATTGTTCCAAAGAAGACTGAAATGTATACAGTCAGTTGTTTTCTTCTCAAAAATTGTTTTTTCCAGACAAATGTGAAAGATCGAAAAATCTGGAAAGTGAAGATGAGTTTAGCACAGACGGAACTGGAAGGTATCTACTTCCTTTAATATTTTTAGTGCTTTTTTTATTTTAATATATAAGGGATAAGTAATGAGTAACTTTTCATCAGATTTTGACGTATATGTATGATAACTTAAAGTCTATATGATTTGTATCATCGTTGAAGATAGATTTTTAGACAAGTGTTAATTTTCACAAAACGTCTATGGCTACGTGTCAACAGACTGTAACTGACTACCATTAAATTTAATACACTACAATGTTCAATCACTTTGATTATTGGCCATAGATCAACATCATCAACAGAATGAATTCATTTTGTATTGTTTGTTTGAATCTTCCGATTAATGTTTAGGGATGCAGTTGATGAGTCCCAAATATGACGAAACGTGCGTCTTGGATTCCACTGCAAGCTATCATCCATCTTTGCTTAAAAAAATACCCAAATCTTTACTTGATCATACCTTCTGACATAACGTCTCAGACTGTGAAGCTGGGTGACATGGGATCGAATCCGCCAGGGAGCATCAGTTCCCTCAAAATTACAGATACACCTTGCTGACGAGTGCCAAGTAGCACGAAACCCGGGTCCAGGGTTTCCTGTTGACTACCTCCAACCACCATCTAAATCTCAATACATAGTGCCCGCAGTGTCGAGTCACCTAGACTGGTGGCCACATTGCAACATGATCGATAGCATTCGATCTGCACTAATAAGGACTAGACAAGCATGACATTGATTACCACCCAGTGATCAATCAATTGTGATTACATCTCAGTCCTACAGGAGGTTAGTCACGGCTCGGATAGCTCAGTGGTAACGTCTCTGACTGTGAAGCTGGGTGACACGGAATCTAATCCGTCTGGGAGCATCTGTTCCCTCAAGATTACAGATACGCCTTGCTGACGAGTGCCAAGTAGTATGAAACCAGGGTTCAGAGTTTCCTGTTGACTACCTCCAACCATCATCGCATCTCATTACATGACCCAGAGTGGATTTTAAAAAGAGAATGTAAAACAGTCATCGGTTCAATACAGAATTACCTAATCAACTCTGAACACGACGCTCCAAGAGTGTCTTCCGTCAAAATCATCTATAAAATCAAAGGAACTGGATAAAAAAGAGGTTGAATCAAAAATATGTGCACTGTTGAGGAGTTAGTAATCTGCTAATTCAAGCCCATATTCAGTGTGCAAAATCGATACATCCAACCTTTTATCCTTCTCTGACCCTAATTCTCTTCTCTAGGATGTTTTTTTTTGAATTTGTGTTTTGTAATATTGAACTGTAATCTTAAAGAGAGCAAGAACAAAGATTGCTCTCTTTAAGATAATAAAGGTGTTGTGGATGCGGAGGAATAGACCAATAATTATATTGTTATTATCGGAATGTGTTTTGTGGAGATTTTTAGAAATTTTCACAGATTGAACTCATGAGTCAGTTGAAGCTAGACCACCATTGAAAACCTGGAAGCACTGGACGGCCGTTTCGTCCTAGTATGGGACTCCTCAGCAGTGCGCACCCACGACCCCGCACCACCCGGGGCTCGAACCCAGGACCTACTGGCTTCGCGCGCGAGCACTTAACCATTAGACCACTGAGCCGGCATCCAACGGTGTTAATGTCTAACTTCAACCAATCCACGAAGTTGCGCCATCTTACACCATTGTCTTCAGTGAGTTCCTATCTCACAACAGACCTGGTTGAACTCCACTGGTAACGACTTCTCACTAGAACTCCAGAAGTGTCTCCTGAAGTCAGTCACTAGTGAGCAGGTGATTGTTATTATCGGAATGTGTTTTGTGGAGATTTTTAGAAATTTTCACAGATTGAACTCATGAGTCAGTTGAAGCTAGAACTGACTCATGAGTTCAATCTGTGAAAATTATCATGTTAAGTCCAATGGTGTCCTTGGACTTTAAATGGACATTTCCTATTGGTCGATATCTGTTCACTTGTTGAATATTGTACAAAATGTTGTTTTCTATTTTATGGTACGATGTGGTATGCTTGATTGGTATATAAACAAAGTATGTTTGAAATATAATGATTCATAACTCAGAGGCTGTGACTCGTGTTCTGGACTCAACTGACTGGGCTAGACAGGGAAGCGAGACCAATCGAGACTCTAGGCCGTCCGTTCGTGTTTACGTTTCACTGTAATCGATCGATAACACAGGGTAAAAATCGACCCAACTTAAAGCCATAACAAAAGGGAACTATGTGTATGAACTGTAATCGGTTATTATTATCCCTTAATAATTTTTCATGATTATTATTCAGTTATTATTATGACCTTTAAGTTTTTCGTTTTATTTCTTCATATCTGTCAAGTGGACAATTATCTTTCATAATTTTGACCCGTAAATTATTTTCATCCTTCTATTTTGATCTAACATCCTGACTATTACGTAACCTCATTTGATAATTAGAATTTCGAATCTGTTTATGATGAAATCTTTCCTTCCATTCTATCGGCATTTACCATATAATTATAAATATGAATGTGCAGCTTAAGTAAATGATGTAATTTAAAAGAAAATTTTCTTCTCTGAATTGTCTTAATCTTCATAAAATATTCAATAAATTCTTTATAAGGTAGAGTATCTTTAGTGAGCCTTGGTAGGTCTTGATTTCTATCCATGTGGGGTTTTACGGTACAGAGATCTGAGATGCCATACACTTCAATTCGATCTTCTCAACCTTCTGTTGCTAGACATTCCACTTCTGATTGGTGCTACATACTACTAACGTCAAACAGACAGTAGTTTGGTTTACAGTATTAAAGCACTTGTTTCATTTTAATGACCATTTTTTATTGAATACCATTCCAATTAAGTGTGTACAGAAGGACGTTATACATTTAATGGTCAATATTTAACTTCAAATAAGTAGAAGAATATTTTTGATGGAATAGCTTTATGGAGATTATTTTATTCTGTTGGTGATACTTATCTGAAACTGGTCTCATTTCGGGTACCATTAAAAGTCAGAAAGTGCTGGATAAAAATGAGGCTATTTAATAGTACATACTCAAGACCCTGCTTATTACAGGATCCGAGGAGCTTCTGTTTGCCAGGCGACTTCCCTTTAGGAGTTTAATACATAAACAAAAATTGTATTCAATTGTTCTTCGTTCAAAACGATACTCCATCTAAGATCAACCCATGCTGAATATAACTTACGTACTGTGTTTTGAAACCAAAATTAACGGGAAGTATTGAATTTCTCTTTTCCTCTATTATTAGACCATCGGAATGTGAATTCAATATCCCATTTCATGATATAAAATTACTTAGATGTTTACAAAAAGGTGAACGTAAAGCAATTTATAAGTAAGTCATTTATTGCATTCTGTCGAAAATGTAATGCACGCGTTTTATTATTCGGATAGTGTTTCACTTTTAATTTGTTAAGTTTTAAATTGCTCATGAGATTTTATTTTATTTATGTTCTGGTTAATGCTAATTTGTTGGGTAAAACAATTTGATAATCACTCCGCCTGTAGCTCTTCTAGAGGTACTGCCGATCCCAAGCCCGAGTAAGGAAGGATGTTTGGGCAAGGGATTAGCGACTTCATCCCGTAGAAAACCAACTCGCTAAAAAAACTCTAAAAAAGCTATATAAATGATACTTAATTTGGCAATAATCAATAGAATGAACCTGAGATCTGATGTTTTACACTGCTGGAACGAATAACGACGTTAATGTTCACAAACTTGGAAGCTAATGTACTAATGATAAATAATAAATTTCTCTTTTTAAAATAGAATATTTTGGTAGTGTTGTGTGCTCTGATCTATAATGGTTTAATTCCTGAGCTTTCATTGTCGTTCAGGTCAACCTTTTCAGTACCTACTATGCGTTGATGTTGTCCAGAAAGACGGTGAAAGTTTAGGAGTCAAACCACGTAACTCAGAGCACATAACACTACCAAAATATTTCATCTTCAAAAAAAGAAATTTCTGACTTACTACTAATATGACGTTTTTCAAGTGTCTTAATTTAGTACTAATTAAGGTAATTCTCAATGATATATATGTTCAGAAGATGTATCTGAATGAGCATATTTTGTTCATTCGCTTGAGTTTGACTAGTTATTGGTTGACTGCAATCGTTAGAAAACTGAACTTGTAAGAGGTCTATTTGAGTCTTATGTAACTAAGCTCCGAGTAGCAGAAATCCTATAGGCTTTTATTTGTGTTGACGTGACCCAAAGTTTGTTATTTAGGCAAAGTAATTCAAATGTTTAAAATTTCATGAAGCGCTCTCTGAAAATTGAGTAAGTTGGTCTTTGTATTAAATTTAATTTAGAGTCTGTAATCCATTTAAAAAGGGGAACGGGGAAACCAATAGACTGGAAAGAACGTATATATATATATATATCCATGCAAGCGGAAGGAGTTAAACGATATCGCATAATTTCCATGATATTACTTCTAAAAGTAAACCATTTCCTAAATTTAGTTTAAAAGGCTTTGTGTAGACTGGTTTAATTTTTCGGCTGTATTCTTAACAGACTGATCTCAGTTAATGTACTTGTATTCAAAGTTGTAATTGTTCTGTTGGACCTCAGCCCTTTAGTTCTAATACTGAAGCACTTATTTCTAGATGCGAATTTCCTAGATTCGATCCTTGTTGAGGTCATGAACAGACGCTGATGAAAGGTTCTTTATTAGGATAATATACCCAACCAGTTGTTCTTTGGTTTACAAAGGTTTCTTAACTGAGATTAGTCTGTGATGAATACAACCCAGAAATCTAAAATCCCTTGCTTTTGCGATCAAATGTATAACAGGCTTAAATGTTGTTTTATTACTGATATTTAGTAATATACAGTGTAAAAGGTTATGGTACTGAATTCATTGTTTCAGGTTGGGAAAATGTATTTCGCTTTAGATATACTATTACCTTACTACAATCTACTCTAGTTTCAGCCTCATTTTTTAAGCACAAATAAACTGATTTTAAGCCTGATATGAGCCTATAATAACTAAAACTGATAAGAAACTAGTTATGTCTTCTAATAAATTATCATAAACAGTATATATATATATTGATTCGAAATCAATACGTGATTCCCAATCCCCAACATCTATTACCTTCCAAGGATTATTATCATCTTTCTCATAAGAAGATAGTAATCGATAAATGTTTGACATCAATAATCCTTTTTTTAAAATGGTCTGCACTGTTCAATATACCGATATCATCAACCATACCTTAAAACCTCGTAAGTAAATCCTACTTATCTACGCACTACTGAATTTTTAAAAAGAAATAACTTATATACAGTTTAGAAAATAGGTGTATAATCTAATTCAGATAAATTACATTTGGTGGAAAAATAAAATCTCATTTATGAATTGAATATACTATGGAATATATAGAAAATTTACTGAAGAAAATGAGATAAAATAGAAGAGTGAAAAATGAAAGGATAAATAGTAGAAAAACTGATCGATAAAATATAAAGATTAAATAGCTAAACTACCATTCAATGCTTCCTGGTTTTCTATAGTGATCTAACTTCAATTGACTGATGAATTCAACTATCAAATCACTATAATATCTATAAAACTTCTGTCTGATTATAATCATCATATGCTCAATAGTGACGGTCTTTAAGAAGTATTTCCTGGAATTCTAGTGAGAAACAGTGACCAGTGGAGTTCAACCAGGTCTGTTATGAGATAGTAACTCACTGATGACAATGGTGGACAATGGTGCAACTTTGTGGATTAGTTGAAGTTAGACATTAACACTACTGGATGCCGGCTGGCTCATTGGTCTAGATGTTAGGTGCTCGCGTATAAGACTGATAGGTCCTGAGTTCGAATCTCGCGAGGTAGGATCGTGGATACACACTGCTGAGGAGTCATACAGTAAGATGAAACGGCCATCCAGTGCTTTTCGGTTTTCCATGAAACTGAATTTTCGTGTAAAACAGGAAATAAATTTTTTTTAAAAACTTGATCACTTTCAAGCATCAGAAAATAAAAGTTGATCATCAGTAATATATAGGTGTTTTATTTTCTTAGAAAATAACTTGAAGATAGATTAAGTTTACATTTTGATGGAGTTTTGTTCTCTGAGCTAAATGGTTTGGTCGTGGACCTTTCATCGTTCTTCTGAACGACATCATCAGCACAAACTTCAGATAGAAGTGAAGTGTTCGAATTTCTCCATATGAGTTTCACAGCTTGATCTGTACACCTCGACGTTGACTGGTTCTTATTGACCTTAAATTTGTCATTGTTTACTTCTTTGTTTTGGTTATGTCTCCCATTGGTTTGATTTGTGTTCCTATGTTTGTGCATGATTTTCCTGATTGGTTGGTAAATTGGATTGATTTCAATATGCTTGTTGATTGCTGATTGACCCGAGTGCCAGGCTTCTAAAAATTCTCTGGTGTTTTTGGAGTTACCTCTGTCTAAGATTTCCACATTTCTCCGATCGAATGAGTGTCCGCAGTTGTCCACGTGTATTGATGTAAGTGAAGAGATATCATGGCGTTTGACTGCTAATTGATGTTCGTGTAGGCGAAGGTGAAGGGGGCGTCCGCTTTGTCCTATGTAGTGTTTTTCGCAGTTGGCACAATTTATTTTGTAGATAATGTTTGATTTGTCTTCCTTTGTTGTTTCATCCTTTGGTTTGCAAAGGATTGATTGTAGTGATTTTGTCGGTTTGTGTGCCACACCTATCTCGAACGTTTTCAGCAGTCTCGTAGCGGTTTCTGATATTCCTTGTATGTATGATAGGGTGATCCTTTTGTTGATTTCTGTGTTTGACTTAGGTTCTGATGCTGCGTGCGGTTGGTATTTTTTGATGAAGTTGATTGGGTAGCCGTTCTTTTGAAATATGTCCTTCAGGCATTTCTCTTCATTTTTTCGTGCTGCTAGTGTGCTGCAATGTGTCCTCGCCCTCTTGAGCAAAGTCTGTACACAGTTGATTTTGTGAGCTCTTGGGTTGTTGCTATTGTAGTTGAGAATTTGATCTGTATGGGTCGGTTTCTTATACACTTGAGTTTCCTGTTTTTCTGTGTCTGTCCTAGTGATTAATATATCCAAGAACAATAGTTTGTTGTTTGACTTCTTTTCCATAGCGGTTATGTCGTTCAGAAGAACGATGAAAGCTCCACGACCAAACCATCCAGCTCAGAGTACAAAAATCCATCAAAATCATCCACCTGAGGTACAAATCTTCTCCAACATCTCAAGTATACATTTTATTTTAACTCTAACATTCAAATACTACTTAGATGGAATTTTATTCTCTGGTAGAAGTTTATATTATTAATGTTGTGCAGGAGTACAATGAAATCTCCATAACCAAACTATCTAGCTTACAGAACAAAACTCTACCCAAATCATCTATATTTTCCACCTTCTCATAATTTAACTACCGTATTTAACGGTTATGGTTTTGAATGCATCAATAATAAATGAAGACAACCCAATTAATATTATTGTGTGTAATTAGTTAAGAGTTTTTAAACAATATCACTCAACTATATCATATTGGAATAGCGTAAACAGAATATTAATCAATTATTCCATGTACTTTTAAGATCGACATTATCAGCACTGTATATGAATGAGTTAATCAAATTAGTTACTAAGATGAATAAAAGAAGTGACTAACAGTTTCAAACAGATTCTTATCATCATAGTGTAATTCAATTCTGCTTGCTTGAATATATGTGCATGAATATAATATGAATATACAACTGAAGAACCCGATGATAAACTTAGTGAAAACAATCATTCCCTCTAATACACTCTGTAAATATGAAAAAAACGAGATAAAGTTAGTGTAGGATAATATGGGAATATAAGAAACAATAAAAACCAGTGAAGAATTCGGTCATACAATGTACTTTGTCTAAGAACATGAATGAACATGTAAAAGGTATACATCTTACTTAAATGATCACTGAAATCATTAGTTTTCTACAAATATAAGGTGAATGTTAACCATTCAGTAAATATAATTTAATATACAATTGTTTATAGTCATGATTAGTACAACATCTAAATACTATAAATAAGTTGATTAGTAAATCAGTATACAATAGTTGATGAAACGATTTAGAAATATTGACATTCTTTTATTATTTTTTTTTCGTCAGAGGCCAATGGCATGGCGACGTTGATGTACATATTTTTGAAGATTTAAGTCGTACAGAAAGAAAACGATTTTGGCAAGATATTACACGACTTATGATGACTAGACATGAAAATATTGCTTTATTTATGGGTGTATGTGTTAATCCGCCTAATTTTGCCATTGTAACTAGGTAAGTTTCAATGATTAAGTGAAATTATTTAACGAAGTAATACATTTTATTCATATATGATTATACACTATGGAAACTTCTTTGACACTACGGCGTGCAAAATTGTGCATGGAGGACAGTTGACAAAGTCGTTCGAAGTGAAGACCGGTGTTAGGAAAGGTTGCCTACTCTCACCCTTTCTCTTTCTCCTGGTGATCGACTGGATCATGAAGACGTCAACGTCTGAAGGGAAGCGCGGGATACAATGGACATCTAAGATGCTATTGGATGATCTAGACTTCGCAGATGATCTGGCCCTTCTATCCCAAACGCAACAACAGATGCAGGAGAAGACAAACAGTGTGGCAGCAGCCTCAGCAGCAATAGGTCTCAATATACACAAAGGGAAAAGCAGGATTCTCCGATACAACACAGAATGCACCAATCCAATCACAATTGACGGAGAAGATTTGCAAGATGTGAAAACATTTACATATTTGGGCAGCATCATTGATGAACAGGGTGGATCTGATGCAGATGTGAAGGCGCGGATCGGCAAAGCAAGAGCAGCATATTTACAACTAAAGAACATCTGGAACTCAAAGCAACTGTCAACCAACGCCAAGGTCAGGATTTTCAATACAAATGTCAACACAGTTCTACTGTATGGGGCAGAAACCTGGAGAAATACGAAAGCAATCATCCAGAAAATACAGGTGTTTATTAACAGTTGTCTACACAAAATACTTCAGATCCATTGGCCGGACACTATTAGCAACAACCAACTGTGAGAGAGAACAAACCAGATCTCAGCGGAGGTAGAAATCAGGAAGGAGTGCTGGAAGTGGATAGGACACACATTGAGGAAGGCACCCAACTGCGTCACAAGACAAGCTCTCACATGGAATCCTCAAGGCCAAAGGAAAAGTGGAAGACCAAAGAACACATTACGCCGGGAAATGGAGATAGACATGAGAAAAATGAACAAGAATTGGATGGAACTAGAAAAGAAGGCCTAGGACAGAGTGGGTTGCTGAATGCTGGTCAGCGGCCTATGCTCCATTGGGAGTAACAGGCACATACTATACTGGACTATACTTTCAAAGTATAATTAATTTATTCTGTAATTAGAAATATGTTGAAAGTGAAAGGTCCCATAGACTTAAATAACGCAATACTTCAACATCAAATCAATATTGATAATTACTGTCGAATTCTTAAAATTAAAAAAAAAGATAATTAACAGCTGTAAAAGTTTCATTTAGACTACTGAATTAACGTATACTACTTTATACTTTCAATATCAGTCAACTTATATGAAAGTACAACAAGAAAAACCATATTCTTACAAACTGATTCATATATATTTAAGCAAAGATGGATGGTGGCTAGCAGTGGAATCCAGGACTCGCGTTTCATCTTATTTGGGACTCGTCAGTTGGATGCCAACATGAGACTGATCAACTACAGTCATAAATAACAGTGGAAAGATACAAGTAAAACGGCACTTAGTGAATTTAAACTTCACGCCATTGCACAAGCAGGTGGTTATCAGGATTCATTAGTTAAGTGGATAACGAGATGGCGTTTGAACAGTACTGAGTTCAAGTCCCGAAGTGAACATCAACTCTGGGATGCAAGTACATCCAGCTGACGAGTCCCAAATAGGACGAAACACAAGTCAAACTGGATTTCACTGCTAGCCACTAACCATCTTTGGTTAAAAAGCTTGTGACTTAAGGCTATATCGAGGCAATCTGTACAGGATGCACATATGTCAAGAAGAGACTGATCAATTGCAGTCCTAAATAACAATGGGAAGATACAATTAAAACGACACTAAGTGAATCTGATTCATATATAGTTAATTAACAGTAAATTGTAAACTATAATCACATAAAATCCAATAAATTTACATCACTGAATAATGAATCAAGTTAATAAACCTCATAGCAACTAGTCTAAGAGAAAAGAAGTTAAAAATTCATTACTCTATAAATTGAAGTAATAGAAATAGAATTTTCAACTGTTTCTAGAAAAACATGAACATTGATATTTCCCTATGTCCATTAATTTGACCTTATTTTATTGATTAAGTCAATATGTTATTGTAAACTTTTTAACATTTACATCCCTTTTTTTATTCATTAGTTTGTCTTTTCCTTATTTATTCCCTTTTTTTCTTCTTGGTTGTTTTTCTTTTTTCTTCCAATTTATTCATCAATATTGAAATACAATGATAATGTGAATTTCCTTAGTTTAGTTAAATATTTGGTTGTTGTTTCATAGTGAAAATTGGTCGACTCCCTTCAAATTACTGTTTATATTTCAATTAAGGTTCAAAATTCATTTATTATTATGATATTAAATTCATTGTCAGATATATCAAAATGTTATCTTTATCGGCTAAATATATGTTGTATATTGTATATATTGTATGTTTTAACCTTTACTACCACAATTGTTCGACCTAAGTTAGAAAATGAATATCTTAGTGTTTCTAACATGTTGCTAAGTATTCATCAATAAAGACATGTTTGTCCTCAAACGATTAAATAGAAAAGTGGATCTGTATATGTTTGAACTTTAGTTACAAAGAAGTCACTCATTGGTGATATAAATTGTGTTGAATCAAGTTTATCGATTAATTCTGTGTTTCAATAGCTGAAATTATGAATCAATTGAAGCTAGACTACCATGAAAGACCTGGAAGCACTGGACGGCCGTTTTGTTCTAGTATGGGACTCCTCAGCGAGACTGATAGGTCCTTGGTTCGAATCTCGTGGGGGGTGGGACCGTGAATGCTCAACGCTGAGGAGTCCTATACTAGGATGAAACGGCCGTCCAGTGCTTGCAGGTTTTCCATGGTGGTCTAGCTTCAATTGACTCATGATTTAAACCAGTGATATTTCTAAAATCTCCACAAAACCCCTTCTCATAATAATTCTATGTTTATTTATGAAATAACAGGCGTCTAAATGATCATAATCTTTTAGTTCTTTTTACTAACAATATAATGGGAACTTGAAGAATATACTGAACGTTATTTCACATTTATCAACCTGCTTGATGATAAATTATTAAAAATAAATGTCTAATAGTCGTTTAGTATATGTTAACGTAAAGTGTAGCAGGTTAATCCAATGAACATGTATTAAAGATCTAACTTTGTTTATAACTGATGAAATTTTGTAAACTTAATAGTACAAAAGATGATATATGTGCATTCAATAACAATGCATGCTTCGAATTCGGTGTAAGGAAGGAGCTAAATGCACGACTCAGTAGTTCGGTTATAAGTGTTAGTCTACTGAGGTTAAAAATTATACACATACATTATGTCACTGATTACCTAGTGCCGACTATTGTCCATTTCATGGTGTGTGAATTTAACTACTGATTACATGAGTAAGCGATATATAACCTAGTGTATTTTAATATATTTGTTAAAACAGTGATTCTGTGGATTTGTTCCAGGGTGTTTAATAAGTCATCGTCTACAGTCCTTTCTCCTTTACATGGAGAGTTATCAGTCCTTGTTCACTTATACTGGGATAAGTAACCAGTTGTACTCGCAACATATAACACGTAGTCACACTTTTGTCAGCAAATCCAAGATCGTACTACCTATACTTGTGAACTACCGTAACTCTAACAACGCGAGATGAAAACATAAAATGAAGAATTATTAACTCTTTAAAGTTACGACCACAAAACTAGTAGTAGTCATTAATAAACCCAATACTCTCATTTAATATTGATTTTACACTTGATTACTATTAAATAAGCATCATATATATAAGAAGATATTTAGGGTTACTTCAATATACAAATGAAGTTCATATAGAATAACACAAAAAATATCATTGTTAAACTGGGTGAAAGTTCACGCTTGTCAAATCAAATGAAATTCATACTTAATGGATATAAACATATTGACCTGAAATAAGGTACGAATGTAGAATATAAAATCAATATCGTACTAACCAAAATGTTTCCCTGTGAATAAAACCAACATCAAAATATCACAATGGGAATTAAATCAATCTCATAAAATATTACACCAAGTTAAGGAAAACATGAACTCATCAACCTTACTTACTTACGCCCGTTATTCCCAAAGGAGCATAGGCCGCCAACCAACATTCTCCAACCAACTCTGTCCTGGGCCTTCCCTTCAAGTTCTATCCAATTTTCGTTCATTTTCCTCATATCTTTCTCGATTTCTTGGCGTAATTTGTTCTTCGGTCTTCATATTTTCTTTTGGCCTTGAGGATTCCACGCGAGGACTTGCCTTGTGGCTCCACCTGTAGCCCCTCTGAGGCTATTGCCGGTCCCAAGCCTGGATAAAAGAGGAGGGTTGGGCATGGTGTTAGTGACCCCATCCCGTAAAAAACTTACTCGTTAAAAAACGCTAACTCATCAACCTAACCCAACTTATCTAGTATTTTATCATGATACAACATTCGATCATTGTGAATATAGCATTCAAAAGAGGTTTTTTTAGTAATTAATCAATCATTCACAACTTAAGTTAGTTTTACTAGGAATTAAAATTATGCCAAGAGTCACTGGTCATAAAGATGCGCATAACAAGTATGTTTATTTCTTACTTTTAAGATCTCGAATCATCTCGATTTTAATCCTTACATACTAGTATTTTGAATACTAGTTAGTACTAGTAATCCAAAACCTATATTCCTCACTATTTTAAATTAGTCATATGGATTTGTCTACATCTCGATGTTGGTGTTTACATTGAAACTCAAACTATTTAGGCATCATTTTAAATAACAAAGAAATATCCATTCACTGGTTTGTACATTCCTGTTGTTAATATATATAACTCAACGGATTTACTTAAGTTAGCATAAGACTCCAGTAGAAAATTCTCTGGAGTTCTGAATAATTTGTACTAAATACAGATCTCACTGTGAAAATTAATGCTGGAGTCCAGGCACAAAATTCGCCTTTTGTAACCTACTATTAGATAATAACCAATATACAATCAACTTGCGATAGACAGTCTATGACGAGGTAAATCGATTCTTTAGTTTACTTTGTCGTAATAAAGATCATATTCATCTCAAGCAAAGCATATATAAATAATTGCAATGAATTTTCTGAAGCACAACATTCAGATCGATTAGCAATCAGAAGGCACATTAATGTACATACATAAAAGAACAATCAGTTGCAGGGCTAGAAGTCAACCTGCAAAGACAGAATGAGTGCAAGTATAAATGAAGACAATAAAATCTACTAAGACAGACAATCTTAAACAAAGCTATCAAACGCTCTGATATAATACTTTGGAATAATTTGGAGGTTTGTTTCTACAAGAAATAAGCATTAAAGATATTGTCTAAATTAGCAACTAAGGCTCTACAATTAAATCATCTAACTTGGAGAATATAACACTAGCAAAAGTATTCACCTGAGCTGAAAATCTACACCATCATTAGAAAGAATTGAACTGAATTCAACTGTCTATTGTATCCCTTAAAATCTTTTGACATTTTTATTCATTATTTTGTATTAAGAACTGTAAAAAAACTTCGTTTCTGTTATTCTAACCCAAAACTTCACATGATAATATACATCAATACAAGACAATAATACATTACGAATAACAAATCACAAACTATACATAACTAAGATCATTTATGATTAGAAAGTGAGTAAAAAGTTCGCAATTATTCAATATTAATTTATGTGCGATGAAACCCACGTCAATAGTTTCTGAATAAAATGAAAGTTTGAGAAGATGGAGAAGATTTGTAGCGCAGGTGAATGATTTTGTTGGAGTTTTGTTCTCTGAGCTGGATGGTTTGGTCGTGAAGCTTTCTTCGTTCTTCTGAACTTCAGGTGGAAGTTTTTGCTGATGATCTCGTTCAGAAGAATGATGAAAGCTTCACGACCAAACTATCCAGCTCAGAGAAAATAACTCCACCAAGAAAAATGAAAGCTTACAATTCAGGTAGTGTAAAACTACAACAGACTTGATATTTCATAACCATATATATACAACCTATTCAGTTATATCTAACATGAACCATAGTGTTTCAAATATCACATAATCATCTATTTTATAAATCAATCATATTTGTTTCCACAACAACAACAAAAAACTAATTCTCTCTATTTATAAATTTCTCTTTTTCTCTTCCCTCAAAAATTTAGTGCATGTAAAGGTATATCACTCTATACTAAACTTCATATAAAACGTGAAAAATTATCTCATACAAATCAATTATATTTATTACGTCAAATAGCTAATGCTATCACTTATTTACATAGCCGAAATAATCCCATTGTAGTACGTCGTTTATCGAGTAAAAATATTTTTTTAAAACCTAAAATGAATTTGTATTTAACTGATTATTCAATGGTAGATTGCGATTATCAAGTGTAAGTTAATTCATTCATTTTATTATATTCTTTACTTTATTTATTTATTATTAAAATAGATTACACTACTTATATTATATAAAATACTACTTAAATTAAAAAAACCGAAACTATAATTTATGGTTAACCTTTAAACGGATCTTAAATGACCTTGAGAAATATTAGCCAATCAGCAAACAGACAGTATAGAAGAAAAAATGTCATACAAAACCAAAGAAATAAAATGGATACACTTCTTATACGTGGTTCAAAAACTTGTCAAGGGTAGAAAGAGGTTCAGAGGTTCTAAAATTGTAATGTATACAGTAGAGGAAATCATTTATATGGCTACAGAATAGTCGACCTCTGGAGATATGATAAAGTCTCGAAAACTCTTTCAGCCTCGATCATATAGCTTCAATATTGTTTATGTGTACTCCGGTTGTTGAGTACACAAAATGCCACATGTGGATAACTACACGATGCACATAACTAAGCCTATGTAGGAGTCTGTACACTTTCCAATCATCCGTATATATTGTAGTACCTGGCTGCAGCCAGTGTTACTGGTGCTTTCATTATCCAGTCCGCAATAATAGTCATAATTTGCCTCATTTAGGAATTATATACATGGTTTTCATCACGAACTGACATCAGTTATAATGCCGAAACTCTATTTAGCCGAATAGATGAAAGACTTTCGCGCCGAAATCCAAGATCTGTTATCTAATACCTGATTGATTCGTCCACAAATTATAGTCACGCCGTTTTATTTGTTATAGCCACTCAATTATCACGTTTTGTATAAAATCCCCTGTGAACCGATCGTACGTTAGCATTAAGCACTGAAGTTGGAGCTGTGACCTTGAAATCTCTCAAACGCTTCTGATTAGCCCGTCTATAAATTATAGTTTCGCCGATCAAGGTACGCGGAGCAATTATGAATACCATTCTCATAACAAATAAAATTGAGAATATATTACTGAAATAAGAATTATAAAATAATGAAGCAATTAATCAAATAAAAGTTGACTGTTTTTTACGTTCATTTAGTGTATGAGAGATGTATGTTAGAGTCAAGACCGTATCAGTGATCTTATTTCAAGCCTTAAATTTTACTGTTTATTTTATCTTCGATGTTAGGCTGTGTTGTACTAATTTATTCATACTATGGTGTTGCGGGTGAATTTAGACGTCCAAAATGAATTCCGAAATGTAAAATACATTCTAAAATATTGAATTCACCTAACAAATGGACAAAAACGGCTGGATATAAAACATCTATAGAATATTAAAAACTTTGTGTATAACCATGCTTATCGAGCATTCATACTCAGATTTGAATTACACCCAAACCAACCTAGAAAATCTCATAAAAAATTCTAATTCATTAGCAGAAAACCAGCACAAATGTTTTCTAATTTACAGAGGTATTCACAAGTGAACATTTTCAACCTAAATCATTTACAGAGAAGGAAAGTGTAACTAGCTTTATACGTTTGTCTAAACTTTGCAAACCGAATTATATTAAGAATTTATTACTTGCTTACGTACATACACCTGTTACCCATCGTGAAGGAGCATTAGCCGCCCACCAGCACTGTCCATCCAACTCTGTCATGGGCAATTCTTTCCAGCTGTTCCCAGTAACTATTCATCATTTTCAGGTGTTCTTCAGATTCCCGACTCAGTGAGTTATTTGGTCTTCCTCTTCGAGATGAACGGACCAAATTTCGTAAGGATCGGTCGTGCACATGCCAAATTGCCACACTACGGATCATCATTGAACAACCAAACAATTGGAACTATTCACCATACATCAACTTACTGGACTGTGAGAAAGCGTTTGATAGTGTAGATAGGAGAACATTATGGAACATTATTCAACGTACCTGAAAAAATCATCATCATACGGAATTCATATGATGGACTTCACCACAAATTCGTGCATGTAGGACAGCTCACAAACACATTTCAAGTGAGGGCCGAAGTCAGACAAGGCTGCTTAATCTCCCCCTTCTCTTTCTTCTGATGGCTGACTAGATTATGACGATCTCCACATCTAACGGGAAGCACGTAATACAATAGATAGCTTGGATGCAACTAGATGATTTGAGCTTCATAGGTGACCAAACTCTTCTATCCCATACGCATCAAAAATGCAGGTCAAGACAGTGTAGTAGCAGCCTAAACATACACAGGGGAAAAACAAAGATCCTCAAATACAACTCGGAGAACATCAACACAATCACACCTGATGGGGAAACTCTGAAGGAGGTGAAAACTTTCATGTACATGTAAAGGCAAAGATTGGCGAATAGAGGGCGGTCCTACAGTTGAACAACATGTGGAATCCAAAATAACTGTCAACTAATATAAAAGTCGGGATCATCAATACGAACATCAAGACAGATCTATTGTACGGAGCTGAAACGTGGAGAACTACTACAGTTTACCGGGACTGAGTTGGATAAAGAATGCTGGTAGGTGGCTAATGCTCATCCACGAGGGTTAACAGGCGTACGTTTTTAAATATTTAGTTGTCAAATTAAATTTTGGATTTCTAAATACAGAGTATTTAAGTAAACTTGGTGCCGTTTCAACCGTAGTTGTTTAGTATAAGAATATTTAATATTTGTTAAAGGGATTGTGTTTGACTTTTTGTACGGTCTAAGAAACCAATGTGCCTTATAAAAATTATTTTTATCAGAGTTGTAGAGATTGTTGTCCTTAATTAAAATCATGAACTTATCTTAACGATGACCAACGTAGCTAATTCTTATCAAATGTGAGGCAGATAACCACCGCAAACAATGGAAGATGGTGACGCAACATCGAAATTGGTTGAAGTTGGACATTAACACTGCTGGATCCCGGCTCAGTGTTCTAGGGGTTAGGTATTCGCCCAAAACCGAAGGCGTTGGGTTTAACCTAGTAACTATGCTATGCATGACTCAATGCAAGATTAAACGTAGAAGTTTCAAATCTTCCAAAAAACACAATTTCTATAAACTATAGAGTTGAAACTCGTTTATTTTAAGATGCTCTAACTCATTTTATAACAAATGTTTTGAGATTGTAATGGACACCCATGTTGTTCAAGTATAACTGAGTATTAATATTTTCCAATAGTATGCACAGTTTAACAAAATACGTCAAGTAGTATAACAGTGAATAGTATCAACGATATTAGATATTAAGGTTGGACTCTGTAGTAACGCATTCACCCAGGTCACTGAGTTCCCTAGTTTCAATCTCTAGAAGAGTTCCATACTAGTGCGAAATAGCTGTTCATTATACTCTGATTTTCAAAAGATATCTAGCCAAAGTAGACTACAAACTGGAAAATTAATTAGAAAAAAAATTTGAAAAAAATTATAAATATTGATGTGTTCTACTGTTTGGTTAGGTTATGGCATAGGCTTCCTACAGCACTTCAAATCCAGTGTACAAATGCGAAGATTGGAATGAATGAGAAGGTTTAACTCATAAAAGGGTTTATCTGATTCAAATAAATACTTTTTAGTTGAGACTTTAAAAAGGTTCATACTCTGTTTCTTTCAATAGCATTTCCCGTTTAGAATTTCTCACCGACCCCTCATGAGTAGGAGCACGTCACATTCCCATATTAGTCGATCATATCAAATATCAACTGAGAGTAATCATCCTTTCTCGATATTTTATAACAGTGAAGTATCTTACATTTTCAAGTATTTCAAGTATTCGAAACAAAATTTTATGACCTCATTAACTCTAACGAAATCTTTGCCACATTATATTACATATATTCATCCTTCATCGCCCTCTGTTGTATAAGTATGTCAATATCTGTAATAATGTTGATTTTCAAATATTTTAGGTTGTAAGCAGCTGATGAGAACCTAACGAAATAAAATGAATTCATATTATTCTGCACCAACCTTTGTTCTTGCTCTCTTTAAAATAATAAAGGGAACTATGTGTATGAAACTTCATTTTAATCATATAAATATATCTGTAGTACACCTCAACAAATTGAATGGATGTTACAGCTTAAAATGAAATATTCAGTGAAAATTATACTGTTATATACCGAATCTGTTCAAATAAATGGATTCGCTCGCAAAACCAGTAGGTCCTGGGTTCGAGTCTCGAAGGAGGTGAGGTCGTGGATGCACAGTGCTGAGGAGTCCCACAATGGGACGAAACGGCCGTCAAGTGCTTCCAGATTTTTTATGGTAGTCTAGCTTCAACTGACTCATGATCCTAATCACTGAAATTATTATACATGTATAGGACATTGAAAGATAGATGGACTTCAACTTCACAGACATACATATTGAAATAACATAAAGAATAAAATCAATCTTTTGATGAATACTTAAGCGATTATCAATCAAACGATTAGTAAACTTTCCTTGTTCTAAAAATTTTTTAATATCTTGGTTTGTTTAACCTCACTGTCATCATGTATAACAGAAGTTTATTATCAGTATTATTATCATCCTGTAAAAATAAGTATATATATATTTGGGATTGTATAGCTTTGTAAATGAATTCATTGAAAAGAGAATTCGCTGAACTAATCTTTCTTATTTAATAAAATCTTAATTTAAAGCAATTAGTTCCTTTTATGAATTTCGACAGAACAATGAGAAGACGGAGTTCATCCGAAAAATGTGATGTATTTGCGTTATACATTTCGAACAATCTGGTCATGCACATATACTTGTCATGGAATTTTATATGAAAATTAATAAAGGTCAATTAAATGAAAGCCCAAGTTAAAAACTAAAAAAGAGGAAAGAAACAATTTTACATCGTATAGAATGAATAAGAAATCGTTGCCTTATCTTAGGCCATAGAATGACTTAAGGATTACCAAAGCAAAATTCAAGGTTACGACAAATTGTCTTTGTACAAATCAGGGGGGGGGTAAATTTATGAATAGCCATAGTTTCAATAAAAATCAGATTTTTTAGATCAACTCTATCTTCTCATCGTTCTATCGAAATAGAATCTTAATGAATAATGATGATGATAAACAAAAAGAAATTTAATTTTAATTGTTGAAATCATGAGTCAATTGAAGTTAAACTGTGGTGCGTGCTACTTATATTAATATAAGTAGTAGTATATGACGCGAGTCAGGAATGTAATATGTGGCGGCAGAAAATAAGGAAGATCAAGAAAAGAAGAGCGGGAATACAAAGCAATTAGTATGGAAATGCAAGAACAATGAAGTTCGAGACAATTATGGAACATTTTACAAATTAAGTATTATAGTATGATTTTTCTATTTTACCAAGTAACTCTGTAATGTTGTGCTAAATAATAATTCGGTTGTCACCACCTGTGTTCTCATTCACTACAAAACCACCATGGGAAACCTGGAAGCGTTGAACGACCGTTTCTTCCTAGTACGGGACTCCTCAGCGATGCACAAACCACGATCCTCCTCCCCTGAGGCATTCGAATCCAGAACGTATCATCTTATTATTATTATTATTATTTATTTTTCTTTTCTTTTATAAATAAAAATTTAGACCAGATCATATACCAATTCCATTAGATGGATTAAAATATATAGCACCAGAACTTTTAATTCATATTGATAAACAATTAAAAAAATTATATGAAAATAATTGTCAATTCATAATGAATAAATCAAAATTCATTGATTTACCAAACTATGATCTATCTAATCATAAATCATCTACATTATCTACAATTCATTTAATGAATATAAATAAATTAGATTCATTGAATTCATTCAATTATAAACAATTAATGAAATCTCATTTCATTAAATCAACTCTAATGAAATCATGGTCTAATCTAAATAATACAATTGATATACCAAAATTATCAAAATATATTTCATTACCAAATCTATATTTATCGGAACAATTAATGAATAATAATAATAATAATAATAATAATAATAATAATAATAATAATAATAATAATAAAAAATCAATGAAATTCATTATACCGCATAAAATGAATTTCATGAAAACAATTCGTCAATATATATCAAAATCAGAACAAAAAAATTTATTCATTAAATGTGTACATATACCTGTAATAGAATTTACTACTTATACTGATATCTTTGCATTTGGGTAAGATTATAATTTATTATTATTCTTTCTTTCGTATATTTCATTATTGTTGTGTGTGTTTTATTTTTTTTTTTAAGGTGAATGGGGGTGGGGAATTGTAACTGGAAACAATGCAATAACTCTGATGTATTCTTATAAGAATGATAAACATGTTAGATTTATATGAAACATAATCAATGATAGAGCTAAACAGATTTTATGTGAATAATATGTAAGCATTGTAAATGTTTGTGAAGATCATCCTGGATGTAGATGTAAAGACCAGATATTCATATTATGTCAGGTTCTTGAATATAGATACATATTCAGACGCCCCACAATAGTAGCATTTCTCTACCTTAAGGCGGCATTCGACTCTGTTGATCATGAGGTTCTATGGCAATGTTTGTCACTGAAAGGAGTACCAAAGAAGTACGCTAACCTTACAAAGGCTCTCTACTCGAACACTACTGGTCGAGTGAGAGCTTATGGCAAACTGTCATCAGAATTGATTACCTCAAATGGTGTTCGTCAGGGCTGTCCACTCTCTCTACTCTTGTTTAACTTTGTCGTTGACGTGCTTTTAGAGAAACTTCATCAGTTCAGTTGGGTGGGACACGAGTTAAGTATGCCCAATCACCGACTGCCTCGACGTGCGATGTTTCATGGTGTAGGAGTAGGATGGAAGAAAGCTAGGGGTGGACAGACCAAAACATGGCACAAGTTCATGAAGTCACTGACAAGTGAACTGAGTCATATTGGTAGGTGTTGACTACCCGGTTGGGGAACGCGAGATGATAGCAACCGATGGTTAGAGACCCTGAATGATATGGCTCAAAATCGTTTGCAATGATGCAGGTGCATCCACTCTTTGTGTTCCCTCAAATCCTAATCTTCTGAACTGTTCATGTCCCTTTTCTTTTTCTCTTTCCAAATCTATTTCACTGGATTATACTCCTTGAATAACATCGTCAAACCCTAATCTTTCCGATTACTGTTTGTACTTTTGCTACCTCTACCACTGTCGGATTTGAATCGACAATTGTATCTCTGTGCAAATATGGTATGACAACTGGAACTGATGTACATACGTAAGAAGTACTACGTTGTTGCTAACTGACTAAAATGCTTCATGACCTCCATCATATGAAAATACTGGTATATGAACAAAGAATATTCTCTGCAGTAAAGTCTCTCTGGATACCAAAATTATATTATCCAAAGTAATAATCCAAAATAGACCACGTTTAAGACAAACAAGTCATTGAAAGGTATAACATGTGAATTTAGGATTATTTATGAAATAAATTAGATAATGGATAATCTGAAGAAAATGATGACCATGTGGATCATACTCAACAGGTAAATAGTTATTAAGTGGGATATGTATGAACAAATTAAACATAGTTATGGGTTCAGCTGCAAAAAATGATTCAGCACTGAGAATAAATGATAATTCGTTACGATAACTAGATTTATCTATTGTGATGACACAAGAGAAATTATTACCTTGCTGCTTAAGATCCCAACATACTGGGCAAATACATTTAACCTAGCACAGTTAAGGTACCAGTTAAAAACTGCACTGCTTACTGTAGTACGATAAGAAGGGATTTCACCCATATAATGTTTCCAAATATCCTGTCTCTTCATAAACAATATTTATATATAGTGCAAATTAGGTTTCCAGAAGAAAAAATTACGTAAAAATTACCTACAAAATGAATGTAAACAATTTCTACAATCCATTTTATTAGCTACAACCTGTTAGCATAAACATGTTTAATTATTTTAACAGTGTAATAAGAAAACAACGTTTGTCAGAACTATGTGATATATATTAGAGCAATACATTTCGATCACGCATATACTTAATAAGAACATTTATATGTAAAAATTATAGGTCAACTATGCTAGAAATGGAGGATAAGAGGAGTCCCATACTAGGACGAAACGGCCGTCCAGTGCTTCCAGGTTTTCAATGGTGGTCTAGCTTCAACTGACTCATGAGTTCAATCTGTGATAATAAAGAAAATAACGTGAAAAACAGAATGAAACTCATCACACTGGATATTACCAGGGTAAATTTAGGGCGAGAATAAACTATTTTTGAATATGGATAGGGGGGATTGAATTTTCGTATGATCAATGCTTCAATAAACAATACTATACACCCTTTGACACTTTTGTACAACACCACAAAAGCCGTGTTCGGATCAATCTTATGGCCTGTTTCAACTATATTTTTTGGCAATCACATAGTTCTGATAATCTTCGTCTTATTACAATAGCCAAGTTTATAAAAAGCACTAACTGCTTCTTAACTACTTTACATGCGAATAATATTAGTAAATTTATTTTTAAAAATTACTTTCCGTTTACTTGTACTGTTAATTTCACTATAGAACAATCATATTTGAAATAAACACTCGATGCTATCCATATGAAGAATTGGATTTATGTCACTGTATTAAATATTTACTGGATGGTCAGCGAGATGATGGTCGTGCATACTGCATACCGAGTTCCATGAAGGTATGTTTTGTATAATAGAACATAATCTGAAAGGTTCTATTTTCAATCGATCTAGTAAGAATGAAATTAATTCTTGCGTGCAGACCATTAAATTATTAGTGATATGACCGAGTCTATTATCATATGAAAATCGGAATGGATTTCAACTGAATCATCAGAGAATATGAATTTTACCCACAGAGCCATGCAGATTTTCTGATGTAGTTAACATTCGATTAGGTGCTGTGCAGTTCAGATATTTTATTATGCGTTCTCGAGCGAGATAATTATAACAATTAATGTTGAAAAGAGTAGAGTGATTAACTTCCAAATTAGATTTTTTCCACTAAATGAGACTGTAAGCACTCCCTATCGTAAGATTAAAGCTGAGAACTTTGGGAATAATTTTAAGAAAATCACTAACTGTTATTTCTCTGTATAGGGCTGTGAAGATTGTTGAGATCATGAACCAATTAATGTTAGACCACCACTGAAGACCTAGGCGCACTAGATGGCCATTTCGTCCTGGTATGGAGCTCCTTAGAAGTGTACATCCACGATCTCACACGCAGGACTCGAACCCAGGACCTTCTGTTTTGCGCAAACGCCTAACCCCCAGACTATCGTGCCGGGATACAACAGTGTTCATGTCTAACGTCAACCAATCCACGATATAGAGCGAATATCTTCCATTTGTTATTTCTGACATCCAGTTTAGACCATTATTCAACCACTTATAAAACAAGTTTAGACTGGCAGAATAACCTGATTTGCCAGGTATACACAAGATAAATCTATCATACCAGACAAAATGTAAAGCGAATACTCGAGATGGGTACAAAAACGGTTTTAACTGGTAGATAATGAGGCGCAATAACTTCTTGGTTTCTGTTTGCTAAAATATCAACCGCGTTATAAGCCAATAAAGATAAAAATCGGTTCTGTAATTATTACCCAACAAATGGGAATCGAAACTAGATATCTGACTAAATGGCAATAACACCTAAAAAGTTTACTTGCTGAGTTCAGAAAAGATGGTTTAACCCCAATAAGCTTTAGAATTGACGATGATATTTACTTGAAAGCTTTTTGATATATCCATCATTTCCTCCAAGTGAAATAGGATCTCAGTGTCAAACTCTAGACTTCCTTTTTTCATGAAATCCGAAGGTATGCTAATGTTTTCATAATCAGACAATATGCGTCGAGTTTCTTCAGTTGAGAATAATGTTGGATCAATTGAAATATTTAGGATGTTCAACTATCTACTTGAGTATTTGATAATTGTAAAATTCATATAAGAAATATGATATTTTGAACCATGATTTACGTCAAGTTAAAATGTCTTCAAATTATATACGTCAAAAAAGGGACTTCATAAAGAAAATAAGTTCATTGAACGATAGCGTGTACATCGAATTTTTTTTAGCTTATAACAATCAGCAAGGATAACCAAATCATAAATAATGTTTAAATTCATAGAATGAATACTGGTTAGTGTTTTTTTAGCGAGTTAGTTTTCTATCGCACACGCAACAACAAATGCAGCAGTAGGTCTCAACATACACAAAGGGAAAAGCCAGATTCTCTGATACAACACAGCATGCACCAATCCAATCACAATTGACGGAGATTTGGAGGATGTAAAAACCTTGACATATCTGGGCAGCATCATTGATGAACATGGTGGATCTGATGCAGATGTGAAGGCCCGGATCGGAAAAGAGCAGTGTGTTTACAACTGAAGAACATCTGGAACTCAAAACAACTGTCAACCAACACCAAGGTCAGGATTTTCAATACAAATGTCAACACAGTTCTACTGTATGGGGCAGAAACCTGGAGAACTATGAAAGCCATCATCCAGAAAATACAGGTGTTTATTAACAATTGTCTACACAAAATACTTCGGATCCGTTGGCCGGACACTATTAGCAACAACCAACTGTGGGAGAGAACAAACAAGATCTCAGCGGAGGAAGAAATCAGGAAGAAGCGCTGGAAGTGGATAGGACACACATTGAGGAAGGCACCCAACTGCGTCACAAGACAAGCCCTCACATGGAATCCTCAAGGCAAAAGGAAAAGAGAAAGACCAAAGAACGCATTACGCCGAGAAATCGAGAGACATGAGAAAATGAACAAGAATTGGATAGAACTGGGAGAGAAGGCCCAGGACAGAGTGGGTTGGAGAATGCTGGTCGGCGGCCTATGCTCCATTGGGAGTAACAGGCGTAAGTAAATTCATAAAATATCTGGTTGGCTTTTTAAATTGATAAAATGAATTTATTTACATATTTGTTTATTTTGTGCTTGATATATACTTTTATAGATTCTTATGTTTAAGTGTTGGTCAAACGATCCATCTAAAAGGCCTTCAATGAATAAAATTACTCAAGAGCTAATAGAAAATGTAAGTTTTTCTTATATCTGTTTTGAAGCCTATACATGAAACAGATAATGATAATTGATTGTCATAACAATCAAATATTCTTGACAATACAAACTACTTGCATTATTCTAGAAAGAAAGAAAAAACAAGACACGACAACGCCCTGTTACAATACGAATGTGTATGAGATAATAATAAAAATTTCAGTAAAACAACAACCAAGAAATCACATTATAACATTAGTAAGATCATAATTACTATCATTTCATGTGACCAACTGATGCAATGTGATTCAGTTAGTAGAATGTTTTTAACCTGATATAGTTTAGTCATAAACTCACGAACAATAATTGAAACACGAATGTTAAAAGTGAGGCAAACCACTAACTTATATAATATCCAAGCTAAATTTTAATGATTATGGAAAAAAAACCGATACGGTGGTATTATGATTTTCGTACGATCAATTAACTTTTACATTTCACACATATAATCCCCTTTATTATCTTAAAGAGATAATAACATCGTTGTACAAATGGAGTTAGCTGAAATATCATATATCAAATTAAATTACGATCAATATTATATCAGTCATCAATTGAAGTCAGAATAAAGTTTAAAAAATGTGCTTTACATTATTTCAGCTATTCTACCATTCATTTTTTCAATTTATTCGCGTTGCACTAATACCGAGCAAATGCCCAATTTTACTAGGCTTCATGTTCATTACGACTAACATTTTATTTGATACATATTTCACACTTACTGATTGCTCCCTCCGAAGCAAATTTTAAAATGATACGAACAGTTTTGCAAGAATTAAAGTCATTTTTATTAAATGATGGCCACGATGCTATGATGCAATTAATGAAAGAAAAGAATAGCGTACTTCATGCATTGAATAGAAATACTGTCTAAACAATTATTACTCAGATCCTGTTCCAGAAGAAATATACTAACATTACCGATCGATATTCGTGTTCAGTCTTAGTCTTTTAGGAGGTTATGCAACCTATTTTAAGTGATTACTTATAACAAAAAAAAACGGTTCATATAACATGATTCTTTTCTTTCTATTTTACAGCATGGTTTGTATCGACGAAAGAACTCGGATCCAGTTCATTAGGAATTTTACGAAATTGTCAAGATAGGAAATACCTGGTTTATTATGATCTTGAAAAAAAAACAATGAATTCTCTAACGAAATACCTTCTTCGTATAATGTATTATACATATTTAGTTTTGAGAAAATATAATTGCAATTTTTTTTCCAAAAAATATGCCTTATTTTATTAATAGAAACTATGTACTATACCTACCTATATCTGATCAACTTATCAGCTGATATGAATATAAATTAAATCATTAAAAAAGCGATCATGTATTCTTATATCAATTAGTTGAACACATAAAAACAGGTTATCGTATTTGTATCAGTCTAGAAGTTATTGTTCTTTTCCTTTTGAAAAGAAAGTGCTAATGAAAACCCATTTGACACATAAAATAAAGTTGATGTACTTACACACAACGTATATCATTGATAATCTGAATTGTTTATAATGATCGTTCAAATAATGTACAAGTTGAGATAAGTTCTATTGTTATTTTCACCAAAAAAAAAAATGTGAAGTGACAAAATATAAACAGAATGATGAAAATATTTACATGGTTTGCTGATATATATATATATATTTAAATAAAAGGAAACGAGATATACGCGTTATTGAGGAAGAAAGACGCTCAAGAGTTATATCATGAACATCCAGAATAAAATATAAATTTTTATTCATTCTATAATGAACCAATCTAATTATTTATAGGTAAAGTTCAACAAATGGATTATTTAACAAACTAAAAGCAAAAACTAAAAGAATATCATGTTTTATTCAAACACCAAGCATTGAATAAATATCTCGATCATCATCTCTGTCTGAATGACGGCGACCAGAGAGCAATGGATCACTATTCAACTTCATACGATTTGAATTAGAACGTTGAAAGTGAGGATGTGTTGTTTGGTAATTATGTGCCGGGTTCACAGGATAATGACGGGTACTTTGTGGATGGTTATTCAAAGGTCGTCTTGGATATGAGTGCGTTGCGGGACGTATAGAATCTAAGCTATTACCAGAAAATCCAAGAGTAGAATCAGAAATAGGGATATTTCTAGTTTGTTGTTCTGATACTTTAAATGACATTTCACATGAAATGTTAGGATTAATCACAATATTATCAGGGCCAGAAGGATGAGAACCAGATGGTAAATACTGAATTTGTTCATGTAAAGAGCTAGAACTAATTTGATTGCTGCGATTGGTAGGTCCTCGATGTCCTGTGTTATTTTCAAGATTCCTGGTGTTGTCATTTATCTTATGAGATGACAGTCGCAGTTCCTGTTGTGAAGACGATAAAGGAGTCAGACATTTAGATATATTCGAATGAATTGGATTTTGTGGTCTATGTGTGAATAGTATGCGTTGAGACGTAGGAAGTGGTGGTGGAGGAGGTGGGGGAGAAATAATTGGATTGGCAGTGGGTTTTTGTGATTTATTTTCATTAGATATATCTACAGCAGTATTTGATACTGTTATGCTATTTTTACGCATGGCTAAATCATACAACCGTGCAATACGAGTATCAAGATCTTCAGCAGATGGACTAACGAAAGGCATTTCATTATGAAGATTGTCATTAACGGGAGAAATATGAGTTTCAACATTATCAGTCTTAGAAGCATTAAGAGATGACTGATTATTCGGTAAAGTGTCATGCGTTTCAAGAGGTCTGTCAGTAAATTGTTTAGACGTATCATTTTTACTTGTTTCATCTTCAGAGTTAAGAGCAGAATTAAGATAACGTTGATAGTGCTCTAATGGATGTGGAAGGGCGTGTGGACTACGACCTCGATGAGGCGGAGTTCGAGTTTCTCGAGAAGTATTGTTGTTATTAGATCCACCACAAACTTTGAGGCGACCGGGATTGAGATTTGATGCCTTGGTCGTTGAAGTGAGTTCTTGGATAGCTCCGTTATTTGTGATATTACTAGGTTGAGACAATTCTTTTCGAGGTTTTGTAGATGAATCAGGTGAAATTCCTAATTCTTGAGTTTGTTCAGGGTCACAGCGAGTCGGAATATATGGTCTATAAGGTGGGGGAGGGTCTTCTGAAGGATGAAGAGAATGTGGTATATAAGCGCGTGAGGACGACTGAGGTGGAGTTGCGTCAACATTTTGGCGAAGATGTGAATGAGATGGTGAAGAATAGTCGGTTAATAAATGACCATGGTTCCTGAAGGGATTTTGTATCTGTACATTTGGGAAAATAGGATACGGATATAGCGATTTATTTGTAATAACGGGATGAGAATGATATGCACCCATATACGTCGCTGATGAACTACAATTGACATGTGGGATAGGAGTCACCGCAAAACCAGCTTGTTCAGGTGTAGCAGATAGAGATATACTTTTAGTTTTAACAAAGTTATCCGGCTCAGAGAACTGGAGTATAGGAAATTTACAATCAGATTGTTGGATTATAGCAGCATCATCTGGTTCCTCTGGTTCTTCATAAACATCTAGAAGTTCGAATTCTTCTTCAACATCCTCTCCAGTTGGCATCTCACAAATGTCTTTACCTATGGCAATTACATCAGTTGAATTCATGGCTGTTTCCTTCGGTGAAATAAACTGAGTGGGGGTTTCTTCAGGGAGAGGTATATCCTGGACAGAGACATCAGTTTGATAACCTACTTTTAAAGGTGAATGGAGTGACGAATGAGATTTTGATTCACAAACTGTGGTAACAACATGTTGAGTAGGAGACTTAACTGCAACACAGGTAAGTGTATCCATATTAACAGTCGACAATTCAAATCGTTCTAAAGGTTGAGATGTATTAGGTGTTTTATCAACAGAAGAGGGAGATTGTAAAATCTCTGAAGTACTTTTTCCTGTTTCATGACAAGTTTTTTTAACATCTGGTATCTCACTTTTTGTGGAACGCGTTGTCAGTTGGAATAAATCAGCCATAGATTTAGGTCCCATGTATGGAGGAATAGAATTGGCTGACATTGATACAGTTTCTTCCAAAGAATCATCTTTATTAAAGCCAGGAAAATGTTTCTTTATATGACGCTGTTGATGTTTAATCAACTCAGCATGGGCAAGATCCAGCTAAACATTTAAAAAAGAGAGATGTATAAAACTGCGATAAAAAAGTATTTTATTTATAGCATACAAAGAACATTTAGTATAAATACACTGAAAACATTATGTATAGTTATCAGTACACACCGAAAAACATTATAATTTATACGAACAAGACATTAGTAACTGTTAAAAACTCAAGAACCATCCAACCTTGATGACTATGTCACGAAAGCTATACAAGACTTGTACAAGGAAGAATTTTCATATTTTAATTGTAATTGGAGACAACCACTGTATTATTTGATTGACCATATGTAGCCGGAATTAATTCAAAGTAATACGAACCTAGCGATGCGTAAAAAAACCTAAGATGATCATTGTCATAGGAATTAAGAAAGTTCATAACAGTAAAAACTTCTTAACGAAACGGGAGTAGAATGAACTGTCTGCAAATTCTTATTTTAGGTAGAAAGTCCAGTTTAAGTATAAAACAAAGTAAGTTTTCAAGAATAATGTCTTATGCATTTAGAACCTAAAAAATAACCCAACTATAAATGTAACATACTAAAAATTCTAACACCTCAACAGGACTTGGAAACATATTTGTTTTCATTACGATATCGGATGGGGAAGGTGAGAGTCACACGAGTACATACACCCTACCAACGAGCACGAACTAGAACAAAAACTCGAATCTAGGTATTTCTGTCAATCAATTCCAACCACCAGCTACGTTTTAGCTAATGAAAAGGCAAGTTGTTCTATTTTCAAATGAGCATTAGATGGTGGCTAAACTAATACATACAAATGTCGCATATTTAGTGGAAATCAAGCTAGTGAAGAATATATCTGTAATGACAAATGCAACTCACACTATTTAAATAAATGGACAAAACTTACCTCATTTTTATCAGCAGTAGCATAGAGTTGGAGAAATTTATTAAATACCTTTTGAGCAGCAATTTTTACTTCTAACGAACGTTTATATCGACGGCACTAAAAATCCAATTAAAATAGAGATATCTTGCAATCAAAATTAATTTAATTAGCTAATACAATAGGTGTACTTGGGAATGAGGCACATTCTAAATATGAAGGATAATGATATTCAAGCTTAATTAAATGGAGGAGGGGACAAACCTGGGGACCGGCGTTTGAAAGTCGAATGCCTTAAGCGCCAGGCTACCATTACCATTAAAAATACAGACTTATTGGTTTCGGATTTATCAACCATGACAAATTAATCGGGCATCAGTCAAGGTACTCTCTTGAATTATTCCTACCATGTTGTGGTAAATCAGTTGATGAGGTTGTGAATCTTCATCGACTGAGATGGTTGAGTCACGTGCTACGTATGCCCGAACACCGATTACCACGACGTGCAATGCTAGCCGGTGTTGGGGATGGTTGGAAGAAAGTTAAAGGGGGCCAAACCAAAAACGTGGCATTAGTGCTTGAAGTCGCTAACTTCTAGTCTTAGAAATATTAGTAGATGCAAATTACTTGGTTGGGGTCCGCGTGACTATCGTAACCATTGGTTGGAGACTCTTAATTACATGGCTCAGAATCGATCAAAATGGTATCGGTGTATACACTCTTTGTCTTCCTTTAAACTAAGAGATTAAATTCGCTAAATATCTTGCTTTCTACGAACTAGTTCTTTCTTCCTGTATTGTGTCTTAATATGCAATCTTTCTTTTATGTATTACCACCATTGAATTAACTACTTTTATGAATCCGGTGTCCATCTTGTTGTGTTAATGAGGTATGGCAACTTGGACCGATGCATATATGTGCCCGGTCCTACGTTGTAGCTGACTGACTGTGGAATAAAATAGCTGGGTAAGATGACAGTATCATTCTTACAAACTCTTTCACTAACTCCAATCAAAATAAAAATCGGGCTTTCTAGAAAGCTGTCTATTATAGTTACAAAATATAAATGTTCATACGTATTATCCTGGGTTTCGGGCAAGCTTGACACTCACTACATCGATTGTTATTACCGTTGCATGTAGATAAGTAGGGTCAATTATGAAAATGTCTGCTATGATAGCGGTTACTTGATACGAGAAAGCATTATTAATGTTCGTTTGGCTACTATTAAGATAACCACTTAAGCTAAGTAGATATACACAGTTGAATTATTAGATGCCATATAAATGTGTGACTTTGTAGTAACGTTAAACTGGCAAATCAATATGACCAGTAACTAATGAGTGAATTTATATGTTTACTACGCTAATCTTCCATATATATTTTTTTAAAACAACTTTAAAACTGGCAGATGAAGTCATAAACCATTGGACGGATATAAAGTTTACAGTATAAAAAATAGGAAAATCCTTCTATACTACACTATACAGCAAACAAGGTTGAAAAAAGTCGAGACTGATCCATCACAAGAAAAACTCTAAATCAAAGCAATGGTTTGCTAAAAGATTTAAAATATAATCACTTACTTTTCGTATTGTTTCTACAACTGTCCAACATCTAGCCATTATTGGTAAAGAAATAGTCATTTTGTCAAGAAACTCAAGCCTATCAACACATGTGGCAATATCCTCATGACCTTGAATTAAACTTGACTTTATGGAACGATCGATTAGCAGTAGACGCTCTTCAGCGTCCAAATCTTTCAATTGTTGTTCTTTGTCTTTTATATTTTGGTCGTTGATAGTAGACATAGTATTTGATTGAACAACAACGGTAGAATTAGAACTAAATGAAAAGTGTAATCAAGAAAAAAAAGTAAAGGGAAACAAGAAAGATTAATGTCCAGACAATAACTTGTAGAATTCACTGAAAATACAAATACAAATCAAAAATAGGACAGCTTCAATTGTCAGTTTAAAACTTTTGCTTATAGTAAATAGAAAGACTTAACAATTTATTTTATTGATAATTCAATAGATTGAATGTATATGTATGGTATTTTAGACACTTATTAAATCACTACGTAAACTATCATCAATTGGTATACTTGAATTTTCATCGAAATTAACTGTTTAGAATATTTAAAATATAAAATATACGGAATGGTTACATAATGAAGTCAATTAAAATATTTTATTAAAGATATTAAGAAGACGTTACACTAACTGGTTAACTATAAAACAAATTAGAAGTATTTTCACAAATTAAGAACAAAATTTACGATACAAAGAATAGGATATTCCATAGAGTAAAAAAAATGCCTACCTGAATTCGGAAAATCTAAACTGTAAAGGGAAACTATTGAATGTGGTCTGATTACTACATACCAAATAATCTAATTTCTTATGTACACATTTTGTAATTAACAAGGCTACTAGATGATTCTTGTTAAATTCATCACAAATATGCCTCCAAATGTCCTGGTATGGTCGAGAGTGGGAAGAGTCTACTCTTCTCTCGAAATGCTCTCACATGGCCACGTGCATACAACCATTACCACGGAAGTCCTACTCACTGCCTTCTCGTGGCAGAGGTGTTGTTTAGGAAATTGAGAGGACGAAAAGCGAATGTCCGGTGGTGGACCCGGAGAGTCCACCTAGGGGAGTTGGAAAACGCTGATTCCAAACCAATGGTGCACATGGGCTCCAGTATCCTGAGGGAACAAATGGAGTATGAACCAATAGTTGGTCACCGGCTACCATGAGATTGCATCTTCTTACGATGCTCCATTGCCTTGTGGATCAGACTTTTAGGTCGAAGGTTCCGGGTGTGGCCCCCTAAGATAACCACGTGCTTCGGTTTGGGCACCCGGGCAGCATCACATCCCTCACACAAATCATATGTATTTGGTGCCTCCTTGTAACAATATCGATGTGTTCAAATAAATAAATAAACATCACAAATATGTATGTTTCTTTATCTTAATGATGTGTTGAAGGGATACATAGACCTGACATTTCTTAATATGTACTTGTTACTTTCTTCACGATTGGTCATACTAACCCTTCACAAATCATTTAAACAATAATAAGAATCCATCTTTGAATAATTTCCAATTGTAACGTTTAATGGCGTGATTGCCACATAGTGCAGTGTACACAACCTATACTGACAGATACAAGTAGTATGTATTAGGAATTGGAATTGGAATCACTGTCAGCATAAGAAAACAGGAAGGGAAATAGAGAGAAATTGGAACAACAACATGATTGGAAGAGTCATAATGTGAAGGACAACTGAAGGAAGATGTGTAAATAATGTATTTAATGTACAATTTTCATATTTTACAAAGCCGCTGTATAATTTTGCATAAAACAATAAGTTGGTTTCCATCACCTGAGTTTACGTTTACTACAATAATACTCACTAAGACTAAAATTATCACATCTGTGTAATAAATTAACATAAGTAAAAAGATGATTTATTATTAAGTGGATTGATTTTCAACGTCAGTTTCTATCATTTTAAGAGACATGATATAGTAATAACTTGATAGTTAAAGCACTTATAGCTTTCAATTAATACATAACAAATTCGATCTCTGCTATGCCTAGTTCCATTGAAACAGATTAGTTATCATGAAAACAATATAATACAAAGTTGACTTTATGGTCAGTTGAAGTAAATCATAATATCTTATTATACACGAAAGAGATCTTCAAACCAAGGTCTACTTTAATTTTACTGGTAATCTGAAAAGACAACATATAGTTTCCATACATACATTATGGTAGTTCACACGTATTTTTATAGTATATAGTGCATAGGACAACACGGATATGAATTTTTGTAATATAACCCATTCACTAATATGAATATAAGCAGAAATTTCATTCCAAAAAATGTATGCGTTCAAAAAAAAATACACAGCAACTAAAATAAGATACTACACAAATGAACTGGACGTAAACGACAATGAAAATGTATCACTTTTCTCGATAGAAAACTCACCTAACAACTGATGAAGTTCTAACATCAACAGATTTGGAAGTCAACTCCATCTGTATTAAAGCAAATACATAATTATAGTAACAATAATGATAAACTTATTTATGGAATTTTTGGTTAGAAAAATAACGATACAAACAGACAATTGGTGCACAATTTTTCCGATTATTAAGCAAGTTAGTAAGAATGGTAATCCTATTCCCGTCGTAATTGTTATGGTGAGAAATCTCATAATTCCTAATGAAGAAAGTTCGGAGATGAATAAATAAAAAACCAATCGATAGATGAAACGGAATGATATGATACTATGGAGTGGTAACTGCTCACAAGGACGATTAATTGATGCAAGCTGGCAACGAGTTGATTTTAGCTGCTCAATAAAACAGGTGTTTTTATCCAGTAAAATAGTGTTTATATAATACTGAATGCAAAAAACAAACATAACTAGAATTCAACTAAAACACAAGCAATTGGAAAAATACGGATTTTGCAGGTAACTTAAGTGACAATAAAACTCGTATTCCGTCATATCACCATCAATCCGAGAAAATTGCGTAAATTACTTTAGTAAATTATGACATAACACTTACGAATCGAAACGCACAAATCTTGTTTGTCTAATGCATAAAAGCTGGCAAGCCAAGGTAAACCAAGTTTGAATGACTTTGGATAAGTTATCAAATGAAAATGGGGAAATTTATGCAATGTATTAATCTCCCTAAGCTGGTATCCTCACTTATCACTATAACAGGAAACAGAAATCACATCATTCATAGTGTTTTAGTTAATTGATCGAACAAATGAATACAATAATCGCATGATTTGTATCAGTAATAAAACAGTACGTTAGGGAGTGTGAATATAAGTGAATTCATTAAGTTTCAAATGAATTAAACAGTAAAGAACTAAACAACAATTTTCCAAAATTATTTAACAGTATGCATAAACGACAAAACATGTAGAAGAGATGAAAATAAATGCAGTATGGTATGTACACATATGCAAACATATCACAGTAACAAATACACAAGTCTCGGTCAAAAGGTGTATTAAACTACCTAATTTTTTTAAATGTGATTAATCATAACCGGAATTATGGACAAATGTTTGTTCCGTGAAACAATCAAGGAGTGAATTCAAATTTAATTGAACTCGTGAACAACTGTGTGACATACTAGTTTTCTATTGAAGTAGGTGACATGACAAAATGACCAAAAACGACGAGGATGATGTGTTATTTCAATTGATCTATTGTAGATAACAAGAATTAGGTTCCGTTTTTAAGCTGGATGAGAGTCTTTTTGACGAAAATATCCCACTCGGACTGATGTTAGATCGAGGGTACCCGTTAGGAAAAACTATTAACAAACTAGATGACAACCCATGTCTTTATTACAACTTTTGATTCTTCTACCCTAGGCGCTGTTTAATGTCACCAAATAAAATTATATAAGCTGCATTTAAGTTCACACCGTGATCTACCTCCCATTTACACCTGATCATATTGAATCGTAACACATCAACGATCATTATACAACGCGTTTAACAAGTACATGAAAATGAAGGAAACGAATTGCTATAAATCTTACTGGACTTTTTTCCCAGCTACGGGATGATAATTTAGGACTGATACTAGGGCTTCTTTTCCGAGAGTTTTTAACATTGGTGAAAATAATGAATTCAGTGGAATAGCGTCCTTGTTTCGCAGGTCTTCTTCTTAGGCGAATACTATCAGTTCGATAGGTATCTCGGTTAGAATCTTGGTTATTTCTAGCTGCTTTTTCTTCCAGAATAGATTGCTTTTCTTTATCATCAGTATCATTTGTCTTTAGATTCACATCATTCGTAGAAGCAACAGAATCAGAAGAATCATCACTGAGTTCTGGAAGGACATTCCGAAGAAGGGGAGTAACAACCGCTGTAGAACGTGTGCGATGGGTATCAGATTGATTTGTATGATTCTCATTAGCTGTACTACGCGTAGGTGTCACTGAAACTACAGGCCTTGATTTTGTTTTCTCCTCAATGGAAACAAGTGGAGATATAGCCGTGTTTTGGCGTATAATAATTTTCAATGGATCGTTGGACGACGTATGCGACTGCTCAGATCCCTGAGTTAAAATTTAAAAAATAACGAATTGTTCGAGATGTTAACAGATTCAACACTACAAATAATTATGTAGGGAACTGGTATTATTGCAACGAGAAATTGGTTGGAAACTAGTACATTATAACAGTAAATATTTTGATAATCGTAGTGTCATAGACTCATCATAAGGGCAAAATATGTATAAAAAAGCTGTAACATACTAACACTATTTATTGGATAAGTTTGAAGACACAAGTGACGGAATAAATGTTAAGATATGGTCACGAAAATTTTGGCTTGTTGTGACTAATAATCAATACAAAGTTCTGAATTAAAATACTAGTTTCATCAAGTGTAAGAACAAACGGGTTATCCAAACAGGAACTTCCCGGTACAGCTAGTCTGATGATGTAGTGGAAAGATTGGATTCACAGTCGAATAAAACTTAAGGGGATCTTCGAAATTGCGTGCTGACGAATAGAGATCAGTCATTATAATCACCGTAGGACTTGTCACAAATGTCCATCGGTCCAAATCGGTTGAGAAAAGGGTATCTGATTAGACTGAAGCTTCCGCTTACTTAATGTAACCACGTTGAGGTAAACTGATTTTGGAAAGGTCTAAATGCGATCTTTATTTTGACAGCTTATCACTGTCACAAAGTAAGGAATCCACGGAAGATACTGGTAATAAAATATCTACACTGTCTTTATGATTAGTTGTGCATGACAGCCATAAGTAACATTCTAACCAGTAAATTAGGTCATTAGTATTAAGTTTTATGTCCCATTGAACTCATTTTTTTCACTATCCAAAAAGAACTTAGTGGTTATCTTATGTATGTACTGCTAAGAGTCTGGACAATCGAGTACAGAATTTGTGACAATTTATTTCAGAAGTGTGAAATAAATATCGGTAAGACTGATAGTGTCCGTGAAATGAATAATAAAAATACTGAAACTGGAGGACTACTTCAAATACTTACGTGACGTGCTTCTAACGTAGCAGTTGACCCAGTTGTAGATGGGGAGGATGGAGAAACGGAATCGGGGGACATCAAAACCGAGGAATGTTTACGAATACGCAGACGAAGAGCTGAAACACGTTGAGAGTCTACAGGAACAAAACCGTCTGACTCGGCTACATCAGAAGACGGAATGGATGATTTTACAGGACTGTTGGTTGTATTTGGCGATTTTTTCGCACATTTTCTGGAACAAAAGTACAACACACTTGAAAATACAAAGTCAACCTAATTTCTTTTGTGAAATTCGCAAAAACAAACAAAAAGTCCTTACATTGCACTACTTCTCCTATCCCTTTGTGCACTATAGGAATGATGGTCAACTGAACCACTGCTTTTGCGAGATTCTGTATGTGGTCGTTTAGCTGGTCTTCCATGTTCCGCTAAAACGCAACAATTAAAAAACACATGGTTGTATCATAAAAAGTGAAACTGAAAGTTTTGTATGAGTACAATATTTTGTCAACGAAAGAGAAATGTTTGGATTTGATGAAACTCAGAGAAACCTCGGCAATGCTATAAAAAACAAATGATTTCATATCGATGACAAATCATAACGAATTCATACAAACCAATAACGTGAAATATGAAAATAGTACAGCCTGGTTGCTACTTCTGTACTCAAGGTAAACCATAGAGACAAGTATGTGAATCACAGGCATATAAGAACATAGACGTCAGTTCACGGTCAATAGTACTCGTCGGATGTGAACTTTGGCACACAAGGCTGTCTATAACTCCGCCCAGTCTTTCTAGGGTTACTGCCGGTCCCAAGCCTGAGTAAAGGAACAGGGTTGAGAATGTGGCCGGCAACTCCATCTCATACAAAACAATCTTGCTTAAACCGCTAACCAGAAACGACGGTTTAAACCATTTATACTCTGCCCTCCGGATCGAAGGATCTTCATTCAAAAGAATTATGACGCCTCATGATGAAAGTCAAGATTCCTCCCTTTTAACAACCACAGCAACAATTTTTATAGATACGTGGAATGTCTGGACAGTGAGAAACTGGGAGGATCAGTCAAACAGGTGCAGAAATGGGAGATACAACTTGGTGGTTCTCGGGATAAGTAAAACCCACTAAATCCAAGTTAAACGGAAAGGGATGTGATGCTTTGGTGCACGCTGATTGGCTAATTCTTATCCAATCAGCGCTAGTCGATAGTTGGAGAATATTCTGGATTCTTCTTATGTAAAAACTATAAATATACCGACGTTTTCCCCTATTGTGCTTCCTACTGGCTTCTGACTTGCTAATTGGAATATAATCTCTTTCCTGTTCAACCGTGTTCTGATTTGGGGACTTGTCGAGTGAATCGGTGTCCGAGAATACTAAGCAATAGGAATAGCTGGGTCATAACCGTAAGAAAACAAAGGGATAGATTCGGGACCAAACACCATCAGTAACAGCATCTGGCTGGGGAAGAAATTAGAAAAACACGATGGAGGTGGATAGAACATGCATTACGGAAATCATCAAAACGCATCACGAGACAAGCTCTAACTTGGAATCCTGAAGGGGAAAGGAAGAGAGGAAGACCAAGAAACACATTGCATCGTGAATTGGAAGCAGACATGAAAAGGATGAATAGAAACTGGAAACAACTGATAAGGATTTTCCAGGACCGAGTTGGATGGAGAATGCTAGTGGGCGGCCCATACTCCACGAGGGGTAACAGGCGTAAGCAAAACGGTCAATAAAATGGTAGACGCGAAGTAGACTAAAGTTGGGATCCCGATTGGTAACTTGGCACGTGATATCGGTCACCGCCCCCAAGACAGCTTGTGCACTTCGTGATTTATATACAGCGATCGTAGTTTAAGAAAAGTGACAGCCGTTAAAATTAACTTGGAAGTCCCGATGGACCATTCATTTCATTCAACATAGACCTCGGTAAAACTAGGCAGTGAAATAATTATGTACTATGCAAATGCTTCCAAATGCCCTGGTACGACCGAGAGTGGGGAGAGTTCGCTCTCTCTTGAAATGCTTTTACATGGTGACGCGTATACAGCCATTGATAGGGAAGTCCTAATTACTGACTTTTAGTGACGGGGGTTTTGTTTACAAAATTGAGAGGACAAAAAGCGAATTTCCAGTGCTTTAACCTGGTTGGTGGATATGGAAGATTTACCTGGAGGAGTTGGAAAACCCTGACTTAAAATCAATGGTGCACATAGGCTCCAGGATCCTGAAGGAACAAATGGCGAGTGGACATACTGCAGATCACCGGCTACCATGGGGCTGCATCTCCTTACGTCGCTCCACTGCCTTGTGGATTAGACCTCTAGGTCAAAAACTCGGGGAGTGTCCCACTAAGAAAACTACCTGCTTTGATTTAGGCGTCCTGGCAGTATTCCAGCCCTCACACAAATCGAATGACGACGTGTGACGCATCAATATGTGGTGCTTCCTTGTACCAATGTTTGTGTTTGAATAAATACCATATAAATAAGGAAGTGTGAAGGTACAGAGACGGAAAGTACAATAAATAAATAAATAAAAACAAGTGAACGAGGACAGTGCATATAAGAAACACATTTCGGTTCAAAATACAGACTAGAAA